GAATGTTGCCCTCACCGTGGACGACATGCTGTACGGACCCTTCGCTGATGGCAGGGCGTGCGCTTCTACTGAGAGCGGTGCGGGGTGCGGCGTGAACTACGGTGCGAAGCGCATTTCTGTGTGGCCGCTTGCCCGTGCGCTGGACCCTGCTGTGCCCCTGCTGTTCCATGCCGTGAATCCGTCGATGAAGTACGTGGAATCCGCTGCGGGTGGACTGACGGCGCGGCAGCTGATCGGCGTCATTGTCGGCGGCGTTGCTGCAGCTCTGCTCTTTGTTGCTGTGGTGCTGTACTTCTGCCGTGACTCGCGCAACAACGCGAACGCACCGAAGAATCGGATTCACCCCGTGACGCTTGTGTTTACAGACATCGAGAGCAGCACTGCGCTGTGGGCTGAGTGCCCCGAGGTGATGCCCGACGCCGTGGCGACGCACCACCGGCTGATCCGCTCGCTGGTAGCGAAGTACCGCTGCTACGAGGTGAAGACGATCGGCGACTCGTTCATGATTGCGTGCAGGAGTGTGTTCGCCGCCGTGCAGCTTGTGGGGGAGCTGCAGCAGGTGTTCCTGCAACACGACTGGGGGACGAGCGTGATCGACGACACGTACCGCATGTTTGAGGAGGGTCGTGCTGAGGAGGAAGGGGAGTACGTGCCGCCGACCGCGCGCCTGGACGCTGCTGTGTACCGGCAGTACTGGAACGGCCTGCGCGTGCGTGTCGGAGTGCACACCGGGCTGTGTGACATTCGGCGCGACGAGGTAACGAAGGGGTACGACTACTACGGCGAAACGTCGAACACGGCCGCGCGCACGGAGAGCATTGTGAACGGCGGGCAGGTGCTGCTGACGCGTGCGTCGTACTTTGCGCTGAGCACGGCTGAGCGCAAGCATGTGGAGGTGACTGCGCTTGGCGGCGTGGCGCTGCGCGGAGTGCCGAAGCCCGTGGAGATGTACCAGCTGGACGCCGTGCCCGGGCGCACCTTTGCCGCGCTGCGCCTTGAGCGTGAGATGCCTGTTATGGAAGAGGTTAGTGATGTGGCAAGTGGTGATGGCTCTGGATCCACCATTCGGGGCGGTCCCTCGGGCTACGTTGCGTCTGTGCTGGGTGTGCTGTTTGGCACCTTTGCAGCCCCGCAGCGGCTGAAGGCACTGCTTCCCTTGTGCCAGCGTTGGAGTGTCCCGGTGCCGAGCGGGGCCGGAGCAGGGCGTGACAAGGAGGCCTGCCGTGCGGCGATGGAGCGTCTTGCGGCGAAGGTGTGCGGCGTAATTAAAAAACGCGCTTATGGAACCTCATTTGAGGAAGGGTTGCGCACATTGAGTTTGCCAGACAATGCTTCTCTTGGGAGCACAGGCGCGTTGCGGTTGCGTAACTCCGCTTTTGAGAGAAATGGTCTTCCCGTGGACTTTCGTCGGCGGAGCTTATTGCACCAGGCGTCTTTGTCTACAGCGGGAGAAGCGTGGCCGGCGGAAGAGGACCCGGTCGCCACCATTCACGTCCGTCGGCCAGTGTAAATTGTGGTTCTGTGCGCCAGCAAATAGTGTGTGGGCATTGGGGGCACGAGCTGTACTTGATGTTGTGCGTGTTTGCGTAAGCAACGACAGTGTGGACTTTTTTCAATTGTTTTTGTTCTTACTTATTTCGTAATAACTTTTTTTTTAGGCGGTTTCATCGTGTACCACTCCCTCTTTATGTATTTATTCCCGACTGTTGGTTTTTATTTATTTTTGTTTGGTTATAAATTACGCACGCAAATGAGTGCACCATGTATGCTGAGGGGTGATTTTTTTTTTTTTTATTGGGTTGAGGGAGTGTGTGGGGGTGCGCTCTGTGCGGGTGAGCGGTGGGCACTGAGCGGCATTGGGAATGTGATGACGGCTCTCTGCTGGGATGTTGTAACTTTGCCGTAGTTTTTGTGGTGGAGGCAGGAAAAGCGTCATGTCTGTTTCGATCGTTGTGGAGGATTTGGTTTGTGTGTTTTTATTACTGTTGGGTATTTTAAGCATGACCCCTGTCTTGTTTATTTTTATTTTTATTTTTATTTTTTTGATGGATTTGAGAGAGAGCTATTTATATCTGTATGTGCGTGAAGAATATTTATATGTGCATATTGTTGGTGCTGATTGCGCGTGTGGAGAGCCGGGGGGCGGCGGAGGTGCATTTTTATTTTTTGGTGTTTTTTTTTGAAGATGTTTTTGGTTTTGTGAACGTTCGAACTGCCACGTTGTGCCCGCATGCGATTGTGTTGTCATGCGGCGTGTGCGTAAGTATGTACTATAGTATAATATAATATAATGTAATATAATATAATATATAATATATATACGGCAAAAATTAACGAGGTGCATTTATGGCCTCTCTATTCCGCTCCCTTGTTTATTTTCCTCTCTCTTTATTCCGCTCCCTTATTTTTCTTACGTTTGATTTACCTGGGCCTTTAGCCGGGAGTTCATTGGGGTACGGCAAGGGCGGTGGCTGCCGACAAGTGTGCTTCCTTATTGTTTGCTTGGGTTAGAGATTTTTTCTTTTTTTGGTATTGCGCCTGCATGGAACTCTTCTCCTCGCTGTCACTACTGACGGTGTGGCTGCACGAGAACAGACGTCTGTGTGCGTGTGTGTCCCATGGCGTGTTACCCGTTTTTTTATTTTTATTTCTGGGAAATGAAATTTGTGCTTTTTTGCCCGTGCCGGTGGTGGCATGTCTCTCTGCCCCGTCTCTTGTGGCTTTGAGTGGCTGGGCACACCCCTCTTCCCTCCTTTTTTCTCTTCTCTCTTAGGATGGCGTGTGGCGCGGCACGGCACCGGCTCGTCCCCATTGTTTTGACGCGTGTGTGCCCCGACGAGGGGACGTCTGGTCGTTGATGGCTGTTGCGGTGTGTGTTGTCGGCGCTGGGCGGGCCGCTCGCACACCAACTCAGGGGCGGCGCCGAGTTTATATGATCCCGCGTGGCGGCAGGGACCATCTAACGCTGCGATGCCCGGCACTTCTTTCCCGTGCTGCCTCCATGCACACACCGTCAGTGAGGCGCCGGCCACGCCGTGCAACACAAAACACAAAAACAGACACACACGCAAAGTGCAGCGCACGATTGCCGCGGAGTTTTGTTTTCTCCGTCGCATTCCCTTGTTACGAGGCTGGCAATAATGCACTGGGGGGAAGCTGCATTCGTTTTTTAATTTGTTTTTCACCGTGTTCTTTCGAGTAAATCTGATGGCCTTGCACACCAGTCGCCATCGTAAAGCACGTCCGCTCTCCTGCGCGGAGAGTTGCCATTATGGCCAAGGGGGATAAGAAGGACAGCGAGGAAACGGCGCACAGTGCCGTTATAAAATCGCGTGTATGTGTGTTTCCCCCGCGGGACATCCAGCGACTCAACGCCTCTTTCTGTGCCTCGTTACGACACCTACGCATCTACCACTTTCCAAATCCCGATTTAGCTTGGCGAGCGCATTGCCCATATTCTTTTTAAAAAAATGGGGAAATACAGCAGCCGGATGCCGCTATGCGGAAGAAATCTATCGAAGGCATCAACAGTGCAGCACAATTTTTTCTCAGCTGTGCCCGAAAAATATTCATTAAATTCTACACGCCGCTGTTAGGTCAAGCAGTTTCACTGCAACCTACTTTTTTTTTCCCCTTTGTGCCTTACTTCCTTTCTTTTTTTTCTTCCACAGGAAGCCACAAGCTACACAGCAAGACAGTCTCAAGGCAGCAAGCATGGCGGTGGGGGGATGGGTGGCAGCGTGGCCGCGAGAAGGGCATGCTTGTGCAGCGGTGGCCGGCCTTGTCGTTGCCCTGCTGCTGCTGTTTGTCCCGCAAGTCGTCGTGCCCAAACCAGTTGTCTGTGAGACCAATGTGAAGGTGTTAACTTTGAATGTGACGGACACTCCAATTGACCGGATCTTTGTAGATTCGCTTGAAGCTGGACTAGAGGCGGCACTCTGGTGGCGCAATTTCACTGTTGCTGACGGTGTTCATGTAGAGATTGTCAGGAAGGTCACCACAATGCTAACAAGTGGAACGGTGATAGAAAAGGCGTTGAAAGCCGATAGTAATATTCTTCTTGTGGCAGGCGTCATCGGTGATATGACCGCTGCGATCTCTCTGCCCGTACTTGTGCGACATGGCCTTGTCTCGTTTGCCCCGTTCACTGGGTCGAGTTTGGTGCGTGGGTGGAACCCCAACATGTACTTTGTGCGTGCCGAACCTGCGGCTGAGCTCCTGGCACTCCTCCGCTACGCCCTGGCTCACCTGCGGGTGCATCGGCTGGGCTTCATGTACCTGAAGGGAGTTTTCTTTGGTGAAAGGGAGTATGCGCAGGCACAACGTGTGATGTCGGGGATGGGCTACAATCTGAGCGGTGTCTTTGGTTTGAAAAGCTCTATGAGTCATGGTGCGAAGAAGGAGGTGTTCGACGCTGCGTGGGAAGTGTTTGCGAATACTCGGCCGCAGGCTGTGATTGTGTTTGGCTCACCGATAAAAGACACCAAAAAATTTGTCGAAAGGATGCTAACAGACAAGCGCACCGCTGGAACGTACCTGCTTGCTCCCTCGGCGCTGCAGGATCTTGTTTTGGGTGTGTGGCGTGCTGCTGTGACTAGTGGTGTTGAGTTTGAGCCTGGGCAGGTGCTGACGACGGGAACGAACCCGCTGGCGAAGGTCACAAAATACAAGGCCATCCAGCGCTTCCAGGAGGTGATGCGGGCATACCTGGCGCATAGGAACGATACGCAATCAGGTGTGGGCAAGGACTTCCCCGACGATGACAACGAGGGCGAGATGATGGTTGCTGGGTGGATTGCTGGCGAGTTACTTTCACAGGCGCTGGGCAATCGTGAATGGGTGAAGGACCGCACGTCGTTCTTGGCGTCTCTGTACAACCAACGCCGGTATGTGGTCGACGACATTGTGATTGGCGACTACGGTGGCGAGTGCGATTATACTGCTGCATTGAAGGGCGCCTCCTTCCACTGCAACGACGGTGGACGGACTGTGTACATAAAGAGGTTTGTGGAGGGGTTCCGTGCTGAGGATGTGGCTGCCGGCGCATTTACGCTGAGATTGTGGGAATGTGGCGCCGCAGATACAATGTTGCATGCACCCTTGAATGGATTGGCTGTCACGATGCAGGATAGCGTGGACGCGGCACTGGCTATGAGTAGCATTTTGGCTGGTGTGGACGCCGCAAAGAAACCCCAGGGGCAATATGATGGCAATACGGTGACGTTCCTCACACTCAATACGTCAACTGCTGGGGCAAGCGATACTCTGCTGACCGAGATGAAGGCAAGACGGGTCCAATTTGTGAGCGGCGTGGTGACGGATGCGATGCTGGAAGTGGAA